TTTTTGGGTGAACTATCTCTTTAAGTTGATGGGGATTACAGATGTAGCAGAAATGCTTGGATTTGAGCGGAAAAGAGGCACTGAGCTTGGGAATCAAGTTAGGGAAGCAGAGCGAAAAGAAAGTATAACAGATGAGTGAAAGCATATTGTGATGACTGTTCTGTCCCTTTGTGAAGATGCTGGCCTACTTACTACCTACAGTTTACAAGCACTTTGAGTCAATGTTCAAGTGCTGTAAACAGATCAACAAAGACATTCAAAATTTCTGTCTATTACTGGCTTTTTTGATCATTTTATGGTTTTTACTATATATTTCATGCAACAGTGACACATTAATTGCACAATAGTTCCTGACAGATTGTGAAAACGTTATGTTAACATGTTTATCCAGAAATGGTCCGTTTGCTAATCTCCTATTGGTGCAGTTAATGAGACTGTCTATATGTTAGTAGAAGGGTTAGGAGCACTGAAGAGAGTTGAATGGATGTTTTGTCAGGCATTGGGGCTTTTAATAATTCTACACTGTTTAAAAATGTATTGTACCTACATCAGGCTCTTCCCCAAATAAAACACTCCGCTCAGAGGACGATGGCCCACTTTACGCTCTCATACACAGTCTCCGTATCACAGCTACATATTCATCTTTGTCTCTTACCTGTGCCAAAAAGTGTATATTATTTGTGTTTTCATTTTAATTGTATAAAATATTTAGCATAAATGAGCCTCTAAAGAAGCCCATAAACACACAAAGCAATCGTGTGTTCAACTCTCTTTTTTTCTCTAGTGCATGTTTATTGCATCTGACACACTAACATACCGAGGTTATATATTGCGATACGACCCTTTCCACTGACCAGTAGGATTTATATCTGGAAGATAAGGTTAAATAAGGAGCAGAGAACCTGGTATACATGCTGTTTATGAATTATTCAATTTTATGAGTCACTGAGTTTAGCTTCTGCTGCAAATACACAGCAGTATTACTTCAGAATTCTTGATCGGCCCTGTGTGCATATGTTCACATTTGTACCATCTCCTTATCACCATTATATGCAGTCACTGAATGCACACATGCAAACTGATGCATTATGCTTTTGCCTTTGTTTTGCGAGATTTACATGTGACACTTTTATGGGCACACTGAGCACTTGATTGACTTTTGATTGATTTGATGACAATTCTCACACCACGTTTTCTCTGAATCTGAGCATAGCTGAGGCAAACTCGTCTGTCACAGGACAAATTACAGTCTAAGAGACCGGAATTTACTCAATTCAATTTTGGCAAAATGTGCAGCTCATTTTGCCTTTGTAGAGCAGTATAGTGAGACATCTTATTGACTTCTCTCTTTCTTTGGCTGGCTGTGTGCTTTCTGTGTGCTGCTGTGTTAGATTAGTGTGGCATGCTTTAATAATGCACTAAGGGAGGGGTGTTTCTGCTTGGCAGCAGGAGAGAGGCTCTGGCATTCAAAAGCAATCGCCTTGTGAACCCCAACTGTGTGACAAGGCTGACACAACAGGACTACAGCACACATCACAGCATACAGCCCCACCACTGAGACTGCATTCATAATCAATACGTAAACATGCACAATATACAGAAACTCTTCATTAAGAAGATTAGTGGTAACACAAGAATAACTTAATTAGATGAACATATACACTCTTTATACATTCATTATCTTCTAAATGGCCAAAAAATGTTCGCTGGTCCCAATAGTGCCAAGCAAAGCCCTTCATTTGTGTTGTCTAAAATGTGTGGATGTTTTAAATGTCTTTTAGCAATGTAATATCACAGCTGTGCAAAATTCTTGTACAGAGGCAGCTGTCAGGATGATGAGCAGGATTTGTCTTGATCAGGGTTTTATGGGGTAGGAGCTGCTAGACCGTGTAGGACAGTCACTAAATTGGCAGTTTTGATTTCCAAAGATAATGAGTCTCGGGTTGTTTTGTGTTTTTGTGGGTGTTCGATTACTTTACTGTGGATATGTATTCTTTATATAGCATTTAATTTGCATGTTTAGTTTTTTTCCCCCTCTGTTCATAGTTTGATTAATGAATTTAGGCCACAGTTTAGAGCTCTGACTCACCAGTTCTCAAGTTTGGTCACTTGGAATAATTGAAAGATAATTCTACAAATCATATAACCAGCACATTGCATGTAAGCAGGATATAATCTGTCCACACATTGATCTTCAACAGTAACTGTAGTCTAATACTTGGCTGGTATTAGTCGTAATTACTTAATAAAATTAGGGTAAGAAATTGTTGCGAATACACCACGACTTTTGTTTGGAATTGGTATTTGATTGGAATATAAGTTTATGTTAATGTAGAAACCAAACTGCCTTTACATGAAGCAAATGCTCTGCATGTTCTGAAAGATGTTTACATTGTAGCTGTTACATGTTTATATTTTGTTTATCATTATTTGTTTTATATTTAATTTTGGTATATTATATTTTTAATTTAGATCCACGGCTATGTGCAGTGTTTCAGAACCATGGACAGCTGCCTTCGCGGCTGTCATTAGAACGGTGCTCTTGCCTAACTGAGTTTACAGATCAAACTTTGTTTGGGGGGGGTGAGGTTTCATTAATGCAACCGCCCAAACCAAAGGCTGAGGGTGGTTTAAATAGCACAAATGCCAAACAGATTTAGTTGTAATAGATTTAGGCTATTATTTACGTTTCAATTGTGTTAACAACAAAAGTTATATTATAAATTGCTCACTCAGAACGCTTATTTTTACCTTGCGCAAAATAAACGCTTTCGAACAGATTTCGCGTACGTCTTCGGAAGTAATCATAGCAACTACGCTGCGGTGCTTTAAAGGTAAATATTTAGCTGCAATATCACTTTATTATAGATTTATAATCACAGACTTAAACAGGAGTTTTTAGCAGTAAGGTGGGCAAGCAGGGGTATAACTGATAAAAACTACACATGGGAGAGAGGCACTGTCCGCCGTACCACGACGGTGTCCACTTGTTTTAGACGTTGGGATGGGGCATTAGGAGGACCAGTACTGTATATCCTCCTCTGCTTACTGCTTCCTGTGATATCGGATAGGTGGGCACTGTTAAGGTCGCGCGGGTCTATTGATTTTTGCCTCTCGCGGCAAAACAACCGTGTCCTAAAGCATATTGCTCTTGCTTAATTCACTCTCAAACCCGTTTTTCTAACACATCACATGGCCACATGGCTAATGTATTAACCCGATCTAATGAAAGTGCGTATCAAAAGCAAGAGTTAATGTTTAAATTTGGCGCACAGTTTATACCCAGAAATGGACTTTGACGTGCATGTGATACGTAATGGGTAGGATTAGGGTTGTGGGGTAGATGCTGATCAGGTGTACGCGAAAACTGCCTATTAAATGCACGCCAACAAATTGCTTATCATATGCACGCGACAACTGCTATTATTTGCACGTCAAACACGTGCGTATCATATGCACGCCAAAGTCGATTTCTGCGTATCAATAGCACGATTTTCTGTTTGTATTTCACACAGTGGCGGCTCGTGGGTTTTAAAATAGAGGAGGCACACTAATTGTATTGGTCTGGGATCCCTGCCGATTATTATTATTAGTATTATTACTATTATTATTATTTGCTTAACCACTTTAAAATGGCTTTTTGGTTGCTTTTAGTCAGAAAACGTAAAGAAAACGACATACAGCAAGATTATATAATTTCACTTACCTGGCCTATCACTCGAAGCAAACATCCATCCCTTCTTAAAAGTCAGTGTTAAAAGAGAGCTGCCTGTTGCGCCATTTAATTAAGCCGACTGCTATAGCCTATATCCAGCTTAGGCTGTTTTCCCTAAATCTGTATATATACTGTTTGAATGACAGCTTGGTAAATCTGTTGGCAATCAAATATTGAATATCGCTACTCATCATAAGTACTTGGTACATTATCAGCACAGCGGCAGATGTTCAAACTAAAATCACGTAATTTACATCTCTATGATGATTGGTTGATATCAGAAGGAGGCTAGCCTCCCCTTACGAGGTTTCTTTTCTCAACACTCCTCAGCGCTGAAAGTGAACACTCGATGGTGATTGGCTAATTTTTTTAACCAACGGAGGCACGAGAGCTCAGCTCTCCCTCGGCCTCCCCCTCCCCTTCTCTATCATCAGCAGATTCGGCACATTCGCGATAGAAAAGCGGCGCTTTCACGTTATGGTATTACAACTGTGAAATTACAAACAAAAAAAATACACATTCTGAGACATGAACTGAAATGAATTGTGAATTTTATTGACATTAAATCGTCCTCCTCCCATTTTCACCTCACCCCTGCCTCCCCTGCCTCCCCCGACGAGCCGCCACTGATTTCACATACTATTTAAACACATTGTCATGACCGTGCTCAATGTATAGTCTATATTAAATGGTTGGCGATTAATTATATGTAAAAGTCTGCACTGTAAATTTGTTAGCAACTTGCAGTGTGTGTGTGTGTGTTTTAAATTTAAAATGGAAGGTTTATTTTTGTTTTTTTTACAATGTACAATTTTTGGTGCATTTCCACTTCCCAATTCCATGCGTGAACCACATAGACCTACAGTTTGAACTAAACAAAATACAGCCACCAAAATGCCATACCCGTATGCTTGATGCTTGTAACATTACTGTATTCTTACGGCACTTTTCTGTAAGGTAGCTTAAATTTCACAGGTGCCATTTTTTCTGTACCGTAAATTTAACAAGCATTTTTTTCACTATTGTTGAAAAAATGGGTGGGATGGAGGAGAGGGAGAGTTGTCAGCTGTACTGATGGGAAATCTCCGTCTATTAATTCCGAAATGTCTGCGTCTAAGAATAGCCTGTCGGTCCTCGCCCTACGTGCCCTAGCAAAGCGGAGCCGTTCCCGAGAGACGCGCGTTTGAATGCGCAGCTGTCTCCCAGCGCTCACATCCCCACCACTGGCACAAACAGTCCATAACCTGACAACGCGCTGTCAGCTTGTTACGTTCCGTTATCTCAAAAACTGCACAACCCCTCCGTGTCGTAAAAACAAGCCGACGGTATTTTCATGCGGCAAAGGCAGGTGAGCTGAGGCTGAGAACGCATTCGGTGGAGACTCAACAGTCGGTTCAGGTACAGACCGGAGTCAGAAGAATAAATTAATCAGTGGGGTGCGTGCGCCGTGCGTCATGTGCTGCAAGAAGAACTGGCCAGAGCGCTGAATTGATCAGTGGCTCATTATAGCTTAGCTTGCCAGCTGATCGGAGCTAATTTCGTTCGGCTTGTGTTTCACAAGCTGATATCCTGCGAGCCCCCACCCCACACTCGCCCTCAACTGCCTCCTCCCCCTCTTTTTTTCTTCAGGGGCGCTTGACGGAGAGTAACGAGGCTAACAGACAGCTCAACATTGGCAGAAATAAGGAATAGAGGGATCCGAGTGTTCTCACGAACGGATTGCCCTCACACTCGGGGAAGATGAACAGATCCTACGCGGCCCAGAGCCCAGTGCAGGGGAACACAAGCGGCAATGGGAACCCGGAGATGTCGCCGTAGTCCCCTCGCGACTGATGCTTCTACTTTCTGTCACGGTGTGTCCCTTCATTGGATTTTATGACGGTTGGATTGGTTCTTTTGCACTGAAATGCCAGTGATAGCTCTGGCGAAAAGGATGACACCTTACCAGTGAGCAAAAAACAAACAAACAATCGATACTTGTGAGACCTGTTATTGCATCCGAATAATTACCTGTGTCGTGAAGAAGAGGGAAACGGAATTAACATCAGATATCGCACATCTCTCCGTAGCTGAGATGCAAATACATGCGAGTAAACGTGAGCGCGAGGTGACCGAAGGCAGATTATAGCTACACCGTGCCAAATATTGCGGATGTTGCGAAATAAATAATTAATCATTTTTATCCTATTTTTTCCCCGTTTTAAATAGATATGGATACTGTAATCATCAAAACTGAACTCGGATGATTGTTTTAAATGTTTCCATTTTTGTTCACTTGGTTAGCCATCACACCTAGATCGTATAAATGATTGTAGCTATGATAATTGCAACCTGAATTTCCAAGGAAAAGCGCGGATGAGAGACAGTTCTGGAAAATATGAGGATGGAGCCACAGAAAACGAGAGATTTAGCCAAGAATTGCATGGCCGTGGAAATATGTTGATTGTGGACATAAAATGAGGTGATGATGGACCATTTTGTGTGTTGAAGTGGGCAACGAACCTGTGAACTACAAAATATAAGGCGCGCTTTTTTTGTTCGATTTTTTTTGTTTGTTTGTTTTTGTTGTTGTTTTTTTTGTTCGTTTTCTTTTTAGTTTGCTTAAAATCTAACCATCAAGCTCCTGGAGCGTAACATCGCATATAAAAGCCATGAAGACAAATGTGTACTCCAGTTATACACGTATTAAGTTTTGAAGCAGATGGGATGTAATGTGGTGTGGTCGCGTTGAATATTCGCCCCCTTTTTTCCTGCTTCGTGAAGACTGGCATTTGGTGTCTATAGAATGGCTCGGTTCGGAGATGAGGTGCCGTCCAGGTATGGCGGAGGACCGGGACACGCTCAAGGGGGACCCGGCCGCGGCGGCAGCAGGCAGGGCGGCCCGCCGGGTGGTCAACCGAGAGTGTACAAGCAGTCAATGGCCCAGCGAGCCAGAACTATGGCCCTGTACAACCCTATACCGGTGCGGCAAAACTGCTTCACTGTCAACCGATCTCTGTTCATCTTCAGTGAGGACAACTTCGTGAGAAAATACGCCAAAAAGATCACCGAATGGCCATATCCTTTTAAACCCCCTCAGTGAGTACCCTGGGGCCTCCGGTTGCAGGTATAGTGCGCTTGAGTGTGGCATGTGTAAGATCACCTGAAAATGTCTTAAAACACGAATCACATTGCCGCTGGTTTAATGATAGCTGAAGAAAAACACGAGCGAGCGCATGATTTGTTCGCGGACGTTTCATTAGAATATTTCTAGGTGTTTATTTGTCAAGTTATTTCGGTGGCAAAATTAATCGAGTCTATTTCTGGGGTGGGTGTGTGTGTTCGGTGTGTTACGCACGGTAAGGGCGCGAGGTGAGCGGTGCTGTGTGACGGTAACGGGCTTGCTGATGTCAGCATGTGCAGTCTCTCAGCTCGGTCTCATTCGAGAGAAAGCGATGGTGAAGAGGGGAGGGGAGGTGAGGGGAGGGGTAAGCCACCATTTCCCATATTCTAAGAGCTCCTGGAGAATACTGGGTGTATATGTGTACTTGCATTTTTCATAGCGCACCTATTGAGCCACGTGTTTAAAGACAAATGGGGTTTTGTATGGAGAGAATTGGAAATTGTTAAAGCAGTATCACAAGGCCGCAGCAGGTAATAACAACAGTGCTGGTGTTTGACACAGCGTGATATTGTTTTTTTTATACATCAGCTTAGTAAACATGACAACCAGGAACTTGCATTTTAGGCAATTGGCTAGTCATCTCTGGTTTATAGCAACACAAAATGATGTTTTATTAAAAAGGTTCGGGAAGAGCAAGATCAGATAATCAACCAATGCAGCACAGGTGGAGCTTGTCTAGTCGATCAATTAATTAGCAACCCCAATGCCTCACTCTTAAACTATTCTCATCCCATACTGGGGATGAAGTTCTCTGGGTTCAGGCTATATTCTGAGCTCGAAGCCCTACTTCAAGACAGCACACCAAATATGCTTAATATTTGATAAATCCTATTATATGTAATGAAATGTAATAAACTCGTGAATAGTTTAAAAAATCAAGCAGCACACAGACTGAAAGCTAATCTGGATTGGAGTAGGCTATGTTGGAGTAGGCTGCTCCACTCCGCTACTTCCAAAATCACGTACAGTTTAGAGTAGGCCTATGTACTGTATTTGATGAAGAATTTACTTTTTGAGTCTTAATAAATTACGTTTTATAAGTATGCATTTGTGTGTGGTATTGACATGTGGCCTATGGTATCAGCCGCATGTTCAGTGCCATTTAGTATTATAACAACTTTTCTCACATGGGTTTATGGGAAAGTAAAGTGCCTATCAAATGGATATAATTTTATGCCTAGTGTTTTATGAATACTGCAAATTAGGACATACTACTCATTTAACATATTTGTTTTCGTCTACTATATAGTAAGGCACTGTTGTATAAAAACTGTTGCATTTTAGGAATGCTTGATGTGTATGTAGGTGTAAATTATCATGTGTATTTTCATGAAACCCATTCATCTGGAAATAGGTACTGGGTTTTTTAGTACACCAGTTTTATATTGTTTTTAAATGCATATTTATTTTTGAAAATGAAAAATCACGTGCATCCATTGAGCAGATCCATTAAATCATGTATATATTTTTAACTTGGCTTTTGACAGTTCACTGAAGCTTCCACTAAAGACTTTCCACCTTATTGATAAAAAAGATTGGATGCCTGATACCTGATCAGTATAATGGCGGAACAACCCAATAAACATTAGTGTTTTATATAAACAAATCTTTAGGGCTAGCTACAGAAAAAAATCAGACTCCAGAAAAAGTTCACTCCCCTCCTTTTCTAATAGACCTCTTAGGATTTAAAATCATTAAATGTGCACAACCCCCTTTTGAAACTGTATTTTGATCTGCCAGAGCTTTCAGTGACCTTTAACCTTGCACTAGGCCTGAAAGCCACTCTTTCTATAAACCTCATTCTTCTGATTTATCTCACGTAAACATGTAATGAGGCCTTGTGATCTGAGGTCCTTAACAGAAGTGTTTTTTAGATACCCACAGTATAGCAGCTTTTTCAGTAGTTTTAGTTGACTGTGATTTGTATAGTACAGATGTATCTGAATAAGAATTTATGAATTGCAGAAGTACGTAGTAGTGAGTCACATGTAGATTAGATGAAATTGTAAACTCAATGTATGGTTGCCAAACATTACATCCTTTCTTTTACCTAATGAAAGTCTAAAAATACATTTGTGATCCATAAATCGTCTCAGCTTCTCTACATTTATGGGCCGTCTCTCTTTGCACTGTAAATGGAATGTAACCTTATAGCTGTGTTTTCTCATTTTAGTTTCATTGACGACTATGAAACTGCAGACTATGTGGAGTGCAGATAAGTATGCACATCTATCCGAAGGGACCTTAAATATATGCTCAGTTCAGTCATGAACCCAGGGCTGGACTGGTAATCGGGCATACCGGACATGTTCCCGGTGGGCCGACGCACTTAAGGGGCTGACAGAAGTTTTTTTTATTTTATTTATTTTTTTTGTCAAGGACCATGACGCAGGGACAGCGAGCAGCCAGTGGCCCATTGGATTGTCTCCTGTATTGACAGAGTAAACCATCCGATCACAATGCGCTATAGACGGAGTGATGAAGTACTTTGCTCCGCCTAAAGATCGCTTCACTTCAACTTCTTCCTCATCGGCTTTCCCCACATTTTCACAGCAGATTTATCAAGAACAGGTTTGCTCTGCGGTGAGTGATGCTGGCCAAAGAGCCAGGCAGGGAGAGGAGAGTAGTTGAATCGGTAAAGTGCTTGATAGGGACTCGCAGAGGCAGGCATCTAACCTATCCTAATGTGTGTGCGCGCCATGAGTGTAGAATACGAAAACACTTTTTAATAAAATGTAAATTTAATCAAATGTAAATTCGCGATTTTTTTTTGCCAAGTCAAGTGTGTTCATAGAGGTTTCCATGGGCCAATGTGAATACATCTAGATTTAAATTCAAATAGACACGATATTGTCGGACATGACGTTTTATTCTTATTCAAAACAACTAGATGTGATATGAGTGTGATATATACATACACTACCAGTCAAAAGTTTTTGAACAGTAATATTTTTTATGTTTTTTAAAGAAGTCG